TTTATGATTTATTTAATGAGGTGTTAGATTGGGAAGAAAACAATAGTAGTTTCAAAGTCACTCATGTACTATCTAAATAAGCATTTATTTGGACCTCAGCGCTCTGAACTAACAATTCCTTGCAACATTGATTTGAAATAGGCTTTCGAAAGCACTCTGAAATCTTGGGAAGATAAGCAGAAGTGTGATTCTGGTAAACCAGTTCTTCGAACCCATTTGTACATCCAACACGCGGTCGACCTGGCGACGGAAGAGGTGTCGCAAATGCAGCTGTGCTCGCAGGCGGCGGAGGAACTCATCACCAGGTCCGGGGCTCCGGTGGGCCCGGGGGCGCAAGGGCACGAGAGCGCTGGTCTTGGCCAGTTTGGGTTTTTTCAGTTTTAATGCATCATCGCAGTTGTTTGGAGGTATCCAAAAGAGATGCCTTTACTCGCCTTCATTTGCTGCCTCACCTGTGCCTCAATAATTTCTGTTCTTCATTAGATCCCGTCTTACATGCCCACATGTGTGTTCCCCGCGGGACAGATCTCCCACTTTCTGAAACACAGTGGAGAGCTTGCCTAACATACCTTTCCATTATTGTTTACATATATATACATTATTTATATGTACTATATGTAACTCTTCCATTGTCATTTCCCAGTTTATGATGCCTTATGATTATTCATTAAATGTTTAGGGAATGCAGAAGGAAATACAAACACTAACTCTGTTCCCAAGGAGAGTGGTGAGGTGGGGTTGGGTGGGAAGAGTCCGAAGAATCATTTTCCAGCATCGGTTATCACCGAGCTCGCAAGACCACACTAATTAATTTTAGGAGACAGAAAAGGAGGAGATTTTTTAGAGTTCTTCAAGTGTAAACCAAATAAAAATTACTATGACCAGGGGTAAACTTCAGAGAGGACGCGGGAACCATGGGCAATTTTCTTATCTCCTCTTCCCCTAAATTTCATCTGCCAAACGGGGATGAGATCTGTCTAATCAAGTCGCTGTGAAGGTTAAGTGAGAGCCGCCAGGTGCCGTGCGCATTGGGACATCATGTCTGGTGTAGCTAGTGTTCTGTGCGTGGTCGCTGTCCTGTTCTTCCCACACCTTCATCTGATCACACAGTGGGCACTGCGGATGCTCAGAGGAGGCCAAAGGCAGTGAGGAAGGGCTTCCTGGAGGAAGTGACTTCCCAGCCTAGTCTTGAAAGAAGAATAAGAGAAGGAGCAATCTAAGGATGGGAGCCAGCCTGGGTAAAAGCTCAGAGGAGTGTGAGTGCATGGTACTTTCAGGAAACCTCAGGGAGTTCGAGGTGACTGACATGTTAGCATGGGGTATTTGAGTGTAGGAAATGTGGACAGAGAGGTGAGGAGGGGCCAGATCTCAATCAGGATGTTTCTGGAAGCAATGTGAAGCATTGTCTGCAGGACAGCAAAACTGGGGCAGGTGAACAGTGTCGGAATGGTCCTGATAGGAAACAATGGATTGAGGCAGTAGAGATGGAAAGGAGAAGAGAGACTTAAGATAGGTTAGGATCTGAAGCTGGTGTATGGGCATGAACTAGGAGACAGGATGACCCTAATGTTCCTAGTGAATGGCTGGTTGGATTAGGCATCTTTGATGAAGCCACGGTATTCAGGAAGTGGAGCAGATTTTGAGAGGCGAAATGATGGCTTCCATGTTGGATTTAGAGAATTTCAGTTCAATTACATTAAAAATATCTAGGAGGAGATTCAGTTGGCCGTTGAAAATGTTGATCTGAAGTTGACTTATCACTCTCTTTTTCCTTAAAAATTAGAATAACATTTACCCATCTCTGTTCTTCTGATTCATCTATTCATGATTGCTCAGGGTAAAGATGCTTTCAAGAATTGGTTAGGTGACATTTGCAAGTTCTTTTGTGCCTTGGATATCAATTGTATGATCCTTAGGAAGTAAACTCTTTTCCTTCACTCTTGATTCTGTCTCTTCTTTTGTTCTACCCTTTCCAGATTGAAGGTCATTCTCCTGAAAGAGGTCGGAAGCAAAAGCTCTTGAATAGTCTTACCTTCTTGCTCATCTGCAAACCTTACATCATTTTCTATTAATCAGTAGAACATTTCCTCCTTTCTCTTCTTTGGCCTTATTGTCCTCCAGGAGCTTGTCTTTCCAGGACTATTTTTGAAGGTTTAGTTTCCAAAGGACTGTGGCATAGCTGGCTTTGGCATTGGATAGACAGGGATTCAGATCCTGGCTCTGTCCCGTACTAGCTTTCTGTACATACTAAATCTCTCTGAGCCTCAATGTCTTCGTCTATAAGGTGGAGAAAACTAATCACAGCTACCTTTTAGGCTGTGAATATTAAACTAGATAATGCATATAAAGCGTTTAGCGTACGGATGATAAGTGTGGCAATGTTCTTCTCCTGATCTGTTGTGTTTATGCCTGGTTGAACTTTAATGAATAAAAGATGTGTCTGCTCTTTACATTTGGGACCCCTCTCACTTTACAGCGATACAGCAAAATGAAGTGCTACTATATCTTGTTCTTCCAAATAGCACCTCCAAATGCTCATCCCTGGTTCTAAGCCTAACTTTTTATATAAAGATTTTTGGGTTAGTATCTTTTGTTTGCAATAAGGTTTAAGTTTTATACATCTACTCCGTGCCATTCATAATTGAGCAGGTATTTTTTAAAATTTTCCTTTAATGATTTTTCTGTAACTTGTTTTATTCTACTACTTCTACGCTTCAGAAAACTCAGCAATGCTCAGAAAAGTTATTCGTTCATGTGTTTCGCTTTTGCTTTCAGGATTTGTGACGCAGCCACGATCCACTGCCTTTTGGAGCAAGAGCTGGCGCACGCGGTGAACGCGTGCTCCCACGCGCTGAACAAAGCCAACCCACGCTTCCCAGAGGTGAGGAGCTAATGGTAAATTCCCATTCCACAGATTTTTTGGTGTTGCACTTGTAGTTTGATACTGTAAAACATGCCCCGCCCTTTGAAAGAACATCATATAGTCGATGTCAGTCTCTGCCAGAAGCTTATCATTCATGGCCCAATTTTTCTTTATTTTCCTTTCCTGCCATTTTTCCATTCCTGCTCTTAAATCCTCTTCATTTTTTCCTCTTTCACTTTCAAGCGCTTGTCACCTGCCCATCTTCCTTGAACTCCTCCTTTTAACTACTGCCGTTTCTCTTTTTGACATTCTCCCCTGCAAACCTGGTTAGCATGCATTTTACTGGAGCTTTTCATTCATTTTTGAAGCGGTACACTGAAATTATTCTTCATTTTGTTTCACGAAATCGGTAAATGTAGCTAATATTTTAATGGAGAAGTTAAAATTTTGTAACTTTTGTAAATTTTTTAATATAGAAGTTAATAGAATGGATAGGGTATCACGCTCATGAAATGTGATACATGGTATAGCAAAAACTGGTAGCATTATTTTTTATTCTTTCAATTATCCAACTGAAGTTACCTAAGTTAATATACAAATAAGTGCTAGTCCTCAAGATTAAAGTGTAAAAATCAACCTGGTTGGAACTACGGAGAGTGAAAGGCAGTGGACAGAACTAATTATGATCAGATAATGCCTGCCCCTTTTAAGACATAATTTTCTTTGACTTAACTCTTATGGGTATGTTATTGCCAGCATATACAGGTTTGTGTGTAGCAGATGTGGTCCTGAGTATATTCACTGTGGTCAGGGTAGTCTTTTGGTTCCGTGATATAAGAATTAGAAGAGATCGTGCTAACAAATGTGAGTGTAAAAGTTTGCAAATTACAAATAGAATTTTGGTAGATTTTTAAAAAAATATTCACCACGTGAATTTAAATCGGAAGAATAAAATGTAAAATACTTGCTAGTGATTGAATCCCAATTTAATACAGAACTACCTGTCTTTGATGTCTTTGTTTTTGTTTTCTAGAGTCTTACGAGAGACACTGCCACTGAAATAGCCATCAATGTGAAGGCACTGTATAATGAAACAGAATCTTTACTAGTTGGCAGGGTTCCTTTGGTAAGGAAAAGCAATGGTGGATAACATCAGAATGATGATAAATGTATGGTTCTCACCTTCATTAGGGAGCATGCATTCATCAGATTCTAATGCAAAAGCAGCCCCTGGCCTCAGCCCTAGAGTTTCCTTTTTACCTAGCTTTTGCCTTCCAAGAAAATATACGGCAAAATCTGGAAGCCGTGCTTCAGGCCCACAGAAGTAGAGATTTCCCCTCATTGTGTTTTTATACAATCCTGCTCTCCCCTGTCAGCTTTGAGAGACTAACTCATTACTGCAGAAAAGTAGAGGAAGTCACTGTTTATCTTCCCAGAGTTAACGTTTGAAATAGGATTGTAGTTGTTTCCTCGATTTGCTTAAAGAATGATGCTTTCTAGACTCAGTGTTCCAAGAAATAAATTTCAAGAACTAGACAGATCCCCAGATTAACTGAAGACTGGTGCTAGAAATTAAGTTGAGGCCAAGTCTGAATCTGACCACAGTCCATGGGCCTCACGCAGCAGTGCTAGAAATCTGCAGGTGTTCTGTTTGGTTTGCCCAGGGTCCTTGCTTTTTCAACCTTTCTTCTCTCACCCTGGAAACGTTCTGGCACGTTGGGTCTTTTCGCCACCTAGTGTTCGATTGTAGGTTATTCACACATACTGCTGTACCTGTAGAAGGCCTAATGCGTTAGCCATTGTTTTTTTCTTCCTTGTAACAATTTTGATTAATTGACAGGTGATGTTTCTTTACTGTAATTTTATCTCTTGCTTGGGAAAATTTATACATCTAAGTAAAAGTTATAGTAAAAGTTACAGCATCTGACACAGTGGGAGAATGGGAGGTGCGTCCCATAGCCTAATTAACTGTAAGTGACTGGTTGCAGTTTCTGTTTGACCAGAGTCCAGAGGAGAATTGACCTTGGAGCATCCTCTGCTCTGAGAAGAGAAGTTTAAAGTCTGCACTAAGTCCAGTGGTCTTAGCCCTCTTAAGGGGAAACTCAAATATGACTTCCTCGGGGCAAGAGGCAGCTGCCTCTGCTGTGGTCATGAAGAGGAACTTTTAGGAAGAAAAATCGGATATCTTTTTTTATAAAACCAATGGCAGAGTCTTCTTGGCTATTCTTGGCACTCCTATTATTAACCATAATCTTCTTGCTGCTCTTCTAAAATTAGTCCTATAGGAAATCCAATGGGCTGTGAGTTTGACCCCAGTTATTAGATGAAGGACATGCATTTTTTTCTGTTATTTGAAATACATTTAAGATAAATTCTGATTGATAATGTATTTTGTATTCTAATTCTCTACACTGAAAATACCCATTGAGTGTTACTTGGTTAATATTAATCGATTATATTATGTTAATATAGAAGGAGTCTCCTTCACTTTTAATTTTTGTCTCATTGTCAAATATGGATGTTTGGTTTGAAATGTATACCAGAGAATTTTTTTTAAAAAGTTTGGCAATATTGTTATCAAAATAGCCAAATCATATCTGAGAGCAACTAAGTTATACTCTTTATTTTGCTTGTAGGATGCATATGCAATAACTATTTTATCAATTTTGGAAGAAATATATTCTTAGACTAAAAGGAAACTGGTAAATTGTATATGACATGACAGAGAATCTCCGTATTTTTATTAACTTCTAGAAATGGCAGATATCTTGAATAACAGAGAGGAAAAATGTCCATAATAAATAACAGTACCGTTCTCTCAGAACTTTCTGTTTAAAATTCTGTGGTCCAATATGTAGGTATTCTACAATTTTAAATAATTTATGAAAGGATTGATTAGCTGGAAGAGACCTTAGAAATAGTCTAGTCACATTCTACTATCTATTGAGGAAGAAACTAAAACTCCCAAGATCAACTCGCCTTCCCTTGGTTGCACAGTTAGTCACAAGGCCAGGACAAGAATTCAGTCACTTTTCTTCCAATTCTGTGCATAACAGTGTTTATTTCACCTTTCTGCATTGATTGAATTTGTAAGTGACTTTTAATAACTTCTTCAAGTGGGTATACAATAGGTGACCAGTTAAGTTCTCTTTAAAGTTTCCAAGCCCTCTTCTAGATTACAAGCCATTTTGCTTTTTGCTTTGCCCTGATTTGTACAGCAGCTTTTCATCGTGAATTTTTCTGAGATTTGGGTTTTTTTTTTTCTTAAGCATATTTGGTTATCCAGGAGATTTTTGTACCAAGCAGTTTTTATCGTATGATGTGTTGACCCATTTTTAAAATATTATTTGTCCACCCAGTGACCAATGCAGATCAAAAAGATTTTTTGCCACAACTAAGTTAGAATGAGATTATTCCTTAGTGCAAGCCAGCAGAATGGGTGGATGAATGCATGGATAGGAAGGAAGAAGGGTGGGGTTTACTTAGAAAAAAGCACCAAAAGCAATCCTTTTTTCTGTGAAATTATTAAAGTCATACCAGCTGCTTGTATCATCTTTGGGGAATAAGGATAAATCTATCCAGATTTGCTTAAATGAACTCAATATAAAATAAGTTGTTCTTTTTTCCATATTCCTTTATATTAAAAATGACAACCACCACCTAGCCCAGCCTAGTAAGACATGAGGATGTTCAGGGTCGAAATAAAATGATTTATTCTATTTGAGGTTAGTCACTGAGGCTTGTTTCATTTTGTTTTTTAATCTGCTGGCAAGTAGCAGTTGGAATCCCCACATGAAGAGCGGGTATCCAATGCCTTACATTCCGTGGAGGTGGAGTTACAGAAACTAACGGAGATTCCTTGGCTTTATTACATCTTACACCCAAATGAGGATGAGGTATGTAACATTCAGACTATTTCTTTATAAATGTAGACTTTATGATGATAGAATTTGAAGACATCTTTTGAAAAAAAGAAGTGTCCAGGGAAAAACATATCTTTAATACAGTTGTCCTCCCGCACCTGCAGGAAACACGTTCCAGGACCGCTATGGGTGCCTGAAACTGCCAACAGTCCTGAACCCTAAATATACCTTGTTTTTTCCTATACACATATACCTATGATAAAGTTTAACTTATAAATTAGGCGCAGTAAGAGATTAACAACAATAACTAATAATAAACAGAACAGATACAACAATACAGTGTAATAAAAATGATGCAAATGTGCTTTCTCTCTCAAAATACCTCATTGTACAAATTTAATGCCTTTTCCATCTCAGCTAAGCACTTATCAGACACTGTGGCCCATAACTTCTGCAGTTTGAGGTGTAACAGCAAAACTAGCACATTTTTTTTCCTTCTTCACAATTTTGCAGAGAGAAAATTCCGTAAGTCTTATTAGCAAGCTCAGCATGTGATTTTTTTTCTTTCCTTATTAAGTTGGGAACGTTCACCTTTTCTTGAAAGGAAGCATTTTACAGCTTCTCCTTGGCAGGTCTGAATTGCCAGCATCACCACTCTTGCATTTGGGGGCCATTATTAAGTTAAATAAGGTTGATTGGAACACAAGTCCTGAGACGCCATGGCAGTTAATTCAATAACCCAGACCGCTGCTAAGTGACTAGTGGGCGGGATACTCTGGACAAAAGGATGATTCATGTCCCACATGGGGTAGATTAGGATGGATCAAGAGTTCATCATGCTACTCAGAATGGTGCAGAGCTTAAAACGTATGAATTATTTATTTCTAGAATTTTCCATTTCCTATTTTCAGACTGCGGTTGACCACGGGTGACCGTGGGTGACAACCTGCAGAAAGCAAAACCACAGATCAGGGGAGCCTGCTGTACCACTTTCTAATTCACTCTTCTTGAACAAGCAAGCAAAGGCTTTTATGTGAGCAAAGCTAGCTTACGGGAGTCAGTACATTTCTTACATTTTCAGGAGTAGGAAACATCGTAAACTCTTTTTGGAAGAAGTTATCCCTATATGGTCTCTGCCACCAGAGTGGGATTTTTCTTCTCTTAATATCCTGAGAAAATTCTTTTCTTGCTCCACTCGAACAGGAGCCTCCCATGGATTGCACCAAGAGGAACAACAGAAGCACTGTATTTCGTATTGTGCCCAAATTCAAAAAGGAAAAGGTTCAGAAGCAGAAGACCAGTTCTCAGCCTGGTAGGTGACCCAGATGGAGAGGGAGAGTCGAACATTATGAAGTCATAATGCATTAAAGCGATATCACTGCCATGATGAAAATGTTCTGAGATGCGAGCGCGGTGATCATACTAAATGCCACTGGACGGTACACTATAAAATGGTTCGAGTGGAGGAGTTCCTCTTCTGTTCACTTTACCATAATAAAAAAAATCTTATCATACCTCCAATAAGTCCCACAGGAGTAGGAGTCTGTAGTTAGGAAGCACACGGGGCCACCAGGTGGTTTCCGATTCGCTTCTACTTTGCTGGACGAGTGTCAGCGTGTCTGTTAGGTGGTTCTTCGTCTTACCCAGTGGCAATTCCATGCTTGTAACTTGTTCAAAGTGCAAAATCTACATCATTCTGATAAATGAGCAGGGAAACTTCTGTTTCCTCCTTTAACTTCTAAATACATTTTCCACCTCGTTATGTATTCTCTTTCTCCTTTTTTAAGGACTTTCTATGCCATTTCAGCCCCGCAGTGATGACAGTCCACTGTGACACTTGCATTCTCAAGCAAAGAGTAACCTCTCCCAGATGTTCTTTCTAGTTCCCCTTCCACCTTTCCCTAGAGATGAAGTTTAACGCTGTGTTAGTGCTAAAGCACCGCCAAGGTCTGTGTACATGATCACAGTGCCTTTCATAATCAAATCATGCTATAACTCTTCTGAGTTAGTGGTCTCACTTTAAAAAGTGATATATAACCTTATTTTTGACGATCACAGAGCAGCTATTGAAGGGCGTTTTAAAACCAAATGTGGCAAAATAAGTAGACTTATATTAAGTGAATCAATGTCGAGTAAAATGTGTAAATGAGTGATTATATGTACTGGAAAATAACGACCCAACTAATCTTACTGAGCAACGTTGACAGTTTTTCGATGATATGAAATTGATTTAACAAGACGTTTATTGCTGTAATTATCAATAATTATAATCATCAGTGGAATAGAATCAGTAAAGGTAATACTCGAAGTCATCAAGACCTGAAGCAGAAGTTTGTGTAAAATTGTACCCCGTGTCAGTTTTTAAATTTTAATGAGCATTTGTGCTAATTAAACTATATCCAGTTTTATGTGTGGTCTTAAGGAAATCATTAGAGCGTATTTAGACCTTGTACTACTGATCCTAATCATGAGAAATACATTTTTTTATACATACTGTGTAGTTTGGGTGGCTTTGGGGAGGAAATTGAGCCAAATCGAAAGGCGCAGGTGCACAGCAGCGAATGTCTTTGTGTAATCAGGTCCTCGTGTTGACTGAGTCTGTGACCTGCATGGGAAAAAAAACGGAATTATGGTTCTGTTGAAACAGCACCTTGAACCTTTCCCTTCGCTAGCACTGCTGCTATACTCTGTTTCGCATCTTCTTTGGCCAGCCTTTGCTTTGTAATGCATTGAGCATGTAGAAATTAAGGGGGTTTTGCTCTTAACTTTGGTAGTTCAGAAATGGGGCACAGAGGAAGTTGCTGCTTGGCTGGATCTGCTCAATTTGGGAGAGTACAAAGAAATCTTCATCCGTCATGACATCAGAGGGGCTGAACTTTTGCATCTGGAAAGGCGAGACCTTAAGGTATTTCCTTTGTGCTACTCTTCTGCTCTTGAAGTTTTTCTTGCAAAACAGACTCCTTTCTCCTGTGCCCTTCTGTTCTGTGCTTACTGCTTGGCTTGTGTTATGCAAACGTGCCGTAATCCCGTCTGCATTGTCCTGTGCTCTGCGTTCCTTGTCTGCTTTTGAAGCAAGAATGTCAGCAATATTTTTCTGTACAATCATTCTCTGAGTGTTATAGCTAAAGCTTAGCATGAATTTAGTAATTTTTCTGTGCCTCCATTGGTATGGCTCTTCCTGTGCTAATATTTCCAAATGGGTCATGTTTCCATCAGCTCATTTTATTGGATCAACATAAAAGATGATCTTTGTGGCTCTAAGTGACTGAAAATATCTAATAAAAAGTTAACAACTCAAAAAGTAATTCAATACCAAGAACAAAGCCTTTCTAATGTATGGAACTAGATGAGAGACTTACAGCAGTGGCTACTTACAGTCCTAGGGCTTCGTTGCATTTCTAAATTGACCTTTCAGAGGTCACATGGACAGCTAGACAAATAAATTCAAATTTCCTTCCCACAATTTACTGTTAAAATTGTATTCTTCTCAAAAATGATATTTTTTCTTTAGTAAATGAAGTAAAAACTATGCCTTGCTTTTGCTGGAAAACAGCCCAAAACTTACTTGTCCTTTATGACAGGGAAGGAAAATTATTCATTCATGGTCTACTGCAATTCCCTTTTATTCTTTGGGTGGAGACTCAGCAGTAGAAATGCTCAAAGTAGCCTATTCTGTCCTAGGGTTAGATGTAGGATTTTGTCATGGTTTTCTTATCACATGCTGCCATTTAAAAATTCTCAGGTTGACTTAATAAGCAAGTGAAAAAACCTTCAACATTTGTTGGATTGATTCCTTTCCTGTAGACCAAGTTCTACAATACATAGAATTATGAGACGGTAAATTCCTAATGAACTCATGAATGGTTGTGCCTTTATCTACAAGTATGTTAACAGGGATCTTTAAATACATAATGGGTCGTGTATAGACTTTTATAAAGCAGAGTCATACAGTTCTCACACATCCCCAGTAGACACCAGTTATAACTAAGCATTTTTAGCCAGAGTAATAATAAAATAAGATTAACTAATTACCTTAGTTGAGAGTCCCAAATCTGGAACATATTAAAATATATAGTGTTAGTTCATAAAGTGCAAATTGACGTCAAAACTTAACATGAAAATGAAAA